CGATACGCGCAAGTGAGGTTAGTCAGTGGATAACATCCCCCGAAAATAAGACCTGGTGCCTTTTTTGGTGGCAAAAAATATAAGACAGGTTTTTATTTTCAGGGAAACATGGTATTTGTATGTTATTATATGGTTTTACAAATATAGAGGGAAAGAAACCACAGTTCTGAAACTGATTCCTAGGAGGATTAGAGATATATGGAAACAATATCAATTCTTGACCATTAATTAAAAGAGAAGTTAATTTCAGATGGCTGATCCCAAAGGGAACAGTTAATTGGGATGACAAAAAATATAGGCTAGATTCGATAGATAACTACATTGCTGCAACTGAGAGAAAAGAAACAAGAGAAGAACTGGAAGATAAAGGAAAGGAGGAAGCAACAGTAGAAGAGAGAAATATATGAGAAGAAGGTGAAACAGAAAAGACAGAACAAGAAGGAGCAAGGGCAAAAGAACAGAGACAGACAAGGACAACTAGAATTAAACCTATATATAAGTAAAGGAGATGGAGAGGGAAAATGAAATATGGACAATAAATATAAATGGATTGAATTCCCCCATAAAAAGGATTTTTTGCACAATTACAAAAGTTAAAAATAGATATAATTTGCTTGCAAGAAACTCATATAAAAAAGAACACAGTAATCTATTGAAATGGCCTAAAATTGGGAAATTATATTTTTCATCAGCGCAGCAAAAGAGGGATAATTCTTAATGTACCTCTATACATTAAGGAAACAATAAGCTCCAAACAAATATATGCAGATGAAGAAGGAAGGATTTTAAATGGTGGAAATAGTGATGAACCAAAAACAGATACTTTTGATAGCAATATTCGCACTAAATAATAAGCAAGAAGAATTTTACCAAAAGTTGCATAAAAAGATATTAGAAATGGAGTATCAAAATATGTGTATTGTAGGAGACTTTAATGCAATTGTAGATGCAAAATTAGACTATAGGAGTAGTAAGACAGGGAAAAAGGAAAGAAAAATACTTCCCAAGGCATTTTTTAAAATGATAGAAGAAACTTGTATACAGGATATGTGGAGAGAAATGAACCTGAAAAAAATCAATACACATTCTATTCAAATAAACATAAATCATGGTTCAGAATTGATATGATATGGATGTCACCTGAATTAAGAACCAATTTGCAAGAAATTGAGATAGAAACCAATACTGGGCTGACGACAATCTGATAAACGTAAACTGGAAAGGAGAAAAGAAAAAGTTGAGATGGACACTGAATCAATCTATATTAAAAGATAAAGAATTTATACAAGCAACAGCAAAGGAAATGGAATTTTTCTTCAAAGAAAATAAAAAAGAAGAGACATCACTGCAAAATGTATGGGACACAGCTAAAGCACACATTAGGGGATTAGCTATAACTTAAATTGCAAAAAAAGAATAAGAAAGAAAAACAACATCAAATGACATTAAGGGAAGAATTTAAAAAACTTGAATTGGAATTACAAAGACATCCACAAAAGAAAATTTTAAAAAATTGAATGGAAATAATAAAACATATACTGAACTTAATAGAAAAGGAAGGATTGGTGCAACAAATTAAAAGAGCAAAACAAAACTTCTTGGAAAATGCTAATAAATCGGGAAGATTTATTATCTGAAAAAGGAAAAAGAGAAGAAACTGATGTGAAAAGATGTGAAGAGGAAAATGAGATTAAAAAGAAAATAATTCAAGAATTTTATGAAAAATTATATGATAAAGAAAAAAATTAGGAAGAAATGATGATATAATACTTGGAAAGAGCTAAACTACCAAAGAACATCAAAAATATGTTAAATGAGAACATCAAAGATATGTTAAATGAAAAATAATGATGATGGAGCTGACAGAGGTGACAAAGAGGCAAAAATAATAAAACTCCAGGACCAGTTGTATTACCAGCAGAAATATATAAACATCTACAAGATACCTTAAGCCTGTCAATGCTAGAGGTTTATAATGAGGTACTGCTAGAGGCCTAAATACCAAATATTTGGACAGAGCAAATATTATCTTAATTCTAAAAGAAGAAACAGATTTGACACAAGTAAAAAACTATAGGCCAATATCATTACTAATTGCAGATTACAAAATATTTGCATCAATAATGGCAAAGAGACCTAAAATAGTTTTAATGAATTTATTCATCCAAACCAAAATTGATTCCTACCAAAAAGACAAATAAAAAACAATGTAAGATTTATTTTAGATACACTGGAATATTATGAAACACATTCAGAAAAACAAATGTTGATCTTTTTAGACATGCAGAAAGCATGTAAATTGGCAATTTATGATGAAACAGCTAGATTGTATGGACTTTGGAGAGAAATTTATAAACATGATTAAGACAATATACTACAGACAAACAGCAAAAGTAATAGCCAAGGCACAAGACAAGGATGTCCATATCCCCATTGCTATTTATATTAACACTGGAAGTGTTAAACAAGAATATTAGACAAGATGTAGAATTAAAAGATATAGGAATAAAAAAAGAAAAATATAAATTACAAGTATTTGTGGATTATTTGATATTCATCCTAGAAGAACCATTGGAAACTGGTCCCGAATTAATGACAAGAATAGAAGAGAATGGGGAAGTAGCAGGATTGAAAGTAAACAAAGAAAAAAATAGTTAAAAATCTTACAGGCAAACAAAAAAATGAACTAATAAAAAAGACAGACCTTCAGATAGTCAAGAAAATTAAATACTTGGGAATATATTTAACAGCAAGATGTGCAACAATAAAAGAAGATAACTATATAAGGCTACTACATGAAATAATTTTGGAGGAATGGATAAAATTTGCAATTATCAATGGTAGGAAGAATAGTGACTATAAAAATGGATATTCTACCAAAACTACTTTTTTTGTTTCAAACAATTCCTATAAAAATAGAGAAAAAAATATTTTGATGAGCTAAATACAACAATTTTGAAATTTATTTGGCAAGGAAAGAAAGCTAGAATAAGATTGAAAATGTTGCAAGAATCCAAAAACAATGGTAGATTTGGGCTACCAGATTGGGAACTATATTACCAAGCATGCGTATTAACATGGGTGAAAGAATGGATAACTCTCACACATAGAAGATTACTGTAGAAGGTCATGAACTCCAGTTAGGATGGCACACTTTTTTATGGTATGATAAGAACAAAAGTAATAGCTACTTCCAAAGACATTATGTAAGGAATGCTCTATTTTTAGTATGGGAAAAGGTGAAAGCAAAAATTTATATAAAAATACCAGGATGGCTTTCAACAATGGAAGCATTTGTTCACCCAAATCTAGTAAACCTGGAGAAAATTTTAACATATAAAAATATATTAAATGCTAAAGGGAAACTAAAAATTAAACAAGAATTACAGAAACGGTGTTGATTTATTGTGATAGCCACAAATGCAAATGCAAGTGAGATATGAGAAAGATGTTAAGACTTATGGTTTTTATAAAGAGCAAACAACATTTAATCAATGTTAATGGTGGATGAAAAGTTAATTAAGAAATTATATAATTTTTTATTAAGCCTAAAAATGGAAGATGAATAGGCAAAAGAGGCAATGATAGTATGGGCAAAAAACTTTGGATATACCATAGAATTAGATGATTGGCAAAAGCTCTGGGAAAGAAACTATAAATTAATGATGGCAACTACATATAAGGAAAACTTATACAAAATGTTTTATAGGTGGCACTTACCGCTGGCTATATTAGCCAAAATGTTGAAAAACATGTCTGCTAAATGTTGGAAATGTAATCAAATGTTACATTTTCGTCCAACTGTAAACTCTGGGTACATATTATCACATGTGGTGGACATGTCCAAAGGCAAAAAAAAATATGGACGAAAATGCATACGTGGTTAGAAAAAATGTTAAAGCAGCATATAGATTATAAACCAGATTTCTTTTTGTTAGGCATATTACCAAAGAAATATGATAAAGGGAATGTATATTTAATATTACATGTTTTGACAGCAGCAACAATTGTATTTGTGCAACACTGGAAAAATGAGGAAACATCCACAGAAGAAATAATTTAAAAAGATTAGATTGTGCAGAAATGGACAGACTAACATTAAAGATAAAAGAAAAAGAAGACACAGAATATTTTCAAACTTGGGACTTGTTTTAACAATGGTTGTAAAATAGAGGTAGAAATTAGGAGTTTAATGTTGTTATGTAAACTGACTCAAGACAGTACGCTGTTCACTATGCACTTATTGTATACGAAGAGAAAATATATAAATAAAATTTTAAAAAAGAAACTATTCACTTCTGAAAGCTTGTCAAAAAAAGGAGTGGTTACACATTAAATTTCACTTTCACACGCAAATTCTGTTTAATCACATACACTTTTAAGACTCTCTGATTTTTTTCCTGGAACCATTAGGTCATGTATCCAAAACAAGGAGTCCCATTTCATTCTGTATATGAACCATTTATTTATTTGTGGGGAGGGAGCAGGAAAGCAGCCTTTAAGTGGAATGGACTAAGTCAAGGTTGAAAGGTTCCTGAATTAAAGCGATTGTTCCTATATGCTTGCCAAAAATTTTAGACTCATTTTGAAGAGGAAAAAATAAGCATAACTCCAAATTGTATCAAGACCATTCTCCTCGAAGCTGAATTACTGCAGCAATGGGTCAGAAGAGGAAGCAATTTTGCAGATTCACCTTTGCTCCTGTTCCATCCAATCTAGAATGGATTAAAGACTTTCTTAGAACAGAGTGAGTAGTGAATTTAAAGGGAAATTATGAGAATCACCTTTTGTTTAACAAGAACTGGAACTCATTCACACAGCCCTTTGTGAGTATGTGGAACTGGAACTCATTTCATTCACTCAGCCCTTTGTGAGTATGTGGATCCAGATTATCATAATGTGTATTCAATAAAGGAGCAACACTTTAAAGACACTGTCCATCTATATTTATTTGGGAGTAGAAATAAAATTTCACTTAAGTATAATAAACTTTTCTTTACCTGCAATATTCCCAGCTGCATTCTGTAAAAGTAATTGGATGCAGTAGGAGTGGATATAATAAGCAACCTCCGTTTTTCATAAAACTGATCTAGAAGAGCTGCTGCTGTCCTCACACCAATATTAATATTCATAGCTGAGAGATATACAAAAAAAATCATGCTACCATGTTCATATAGAAACTTGAAAATAAACAACAAATCACATAGAAAAGGAGAGAGAAAAAGTCTTAGCTAATGCCAAAGTTTAAAAAGTTTTTCCAGCTCCTGGAGAAAGATCAGCCTTTTGTATACAGTTTCAACAGATCCTATAAGAGTGCCAGAAATGGGCTCCAAACCCTTCCCCCCACTTCAAATCCAGACCACAACACAACCCAATTAATCTGTAACATTTGAAGTTATTTTTAAATTGGTGATGTAGAGCTTTGCATTTGAAAGGAGAAAGGTGCTTTGGAAAATTAGAGTTTGCTCAAGCAGCATCAGCCATCAATTTCCTAAAGCACCTGGATCTTTTTTTTTCCTGGATTGCTTAGCAGCACAACTGTCAGCCTCCAAGAAGTTTTCCTGACATCTTTTGCTGCTTGACTCTTGCTGGTTGCCTTGGAATAACTTTCAATATGTAATTTCCGCACCTATTTTCCTCAGAACTTGCTTTCCTTTGTTGCTATCACTTCAATTTCAGTAAAAGTACTTTTCTCTATTTTAATAGAGACTAAGATTTTCTTTCTTGGATTTTGAATGGAAGCACAGCTGACAACCACCCCAGGAGAAGACTCATTTAATTTAAACAACTGCAAACAAGTGCTATGTGAGCAATTATACATTCTTTGGAAGACCTTTTCCCCTTTGAGTTCCCAGTATTAGAAATAGAAATAAAAAATAAACAAGAGATAGAAATAAAATCTCAATCTAACCCTCCCTTCATCTCTCCTTCTAACTTTATTATATGGCTTTTATCAATATTTATCCAAAAAGACCAAGAAATCCACAGAATAAGAATTGGATAGAGAGAAATATTCAAAGTTAGAGAACATCCATGGATTTTCATAATCCAAATTTACTTTACTTTACTTTGTTCCACAAAGCTCTTCATTCCAATTCTGAACACTACAGCATCATTTGTTTTTTAGGTTTATAAAAGAATTGAAAATTATAATGGGAGAAAACTTTAGGAAAGAAATAGAAAGCTAAGTATAGTTATAGCTTTTTCCATAAATTTCCATATATCTCTAACACTGAAGATGTACGGAAAAAGAGAGAACTTTCTTGGCTTTAATAACAATGATACAAAGATAAAAAGCAATGCTATTATGTTGACTGCCATTTTGTCAGTCTATTTACAAAATGAAATAAACATTTTTTTTATTGCTTATTGGCAAAATATTGTCCACTTAATCTACATGTAAGTTATGTTAACAAAAAAAACTTGAAGAAACTTGAAGGGGTATTAGGTTAAGCTGTGTTTCAAATAATGCATATAATCCTGAGCTATATTCTTCTCTCTTACAGGATTTATTCATTACTCACGTACGTGTACAGGTTGGCTCTGTTCCTGACCAGCCTAAATTATACTGGCAAACTCTTGCTGGACTTCCCTGCAATTCATACCCACCAATGCAGGAAAAGTCACAAGTTGCACCATAATTATCTCCATCACCAGAACATTTTATGTAGCCATTGTCTGGGGCATTCAATTTTCCACAGCGTCTAACTTTAACAAAATAACAAAATTCAGTATTCATCATCATTCCGGTACATCAAAATGAAAATCTAGTACTTCTTGAAAGATGTATTTATTTCTAGTTAACTAATTAATAAGTAGTACATGATTAATATCTATTAATTCATGGGATAATAATAAGACTATCTGGGTAACAATCCTGTTTTTATACAGCACTATCATTTATAAAGCTGAACTCCCAATGATCCTAAAGCCAGAATAATGCCATTTATTATACCTGTTTGCTATGATGGGAATTTCAACTACAAACTGAATTGGATTGTTTTATTTCCTAAGCGCAATGTATCACATTAATAAATTGAATGCAATGCTCACGTCTAATCAGCAATTTCATCCTTTATATAATTACATGAACATAGATGATGGTATAATCAGTAGTGGGATTAAAATTATTTAATAACCAGTTCTCTGCCCTAATGACTGACTGGGTGGGTTTGGCTGGGGTGGGCATGTGACTGGGTGGGCATGGTCAACTTGACGTCACTCTTGCCAAGGGGCACCTCACCTCACCCCTCCCCTAACCACTCCTCGCCCAGCACTGTTTGGGACTCTTCTCCCTCAGATAGTGTCTGGGAGGGCAGGCACTCCCATATTCCACCTTGGCCAGGCAGGAAGAGCCAGCTGGTGGAGGGACAATGTGGGTGATGTAGCCTCATGGTCACTTGCTGCCCACCGCCCATTGGCAGCCATGGGGGTGAGATGCAGACTTGGGGAGAGGGCTGAGCGGCAGTGGTTTAGCCCTAGCTTGCCTTTTTCACTGCCATTAACTACAGGAGGAAGGAAAGGGCAGGCTGAAATTGGGGGTTGAGGCCAGCTGGGAAAGCCGAACTGCTGTCCACAACTGCCAGCGGGATCGGGGGAGGTGAGGGCTGTGAAGTGCACCTGGCTTGAAGTTTCCAGCCCTTTCTTTGAAAATCTGCACAGAAGAGGGAGAGGAGGAAGCCCCCCACCCGGCATCTTTGTTGGACATGGAGTCCTCACCAACCGGTCTTGCCTCACTGCCTCTCTGAGGCCAGGGTCGATCATCCCTTCATGCGTGGTCCCCAGGAGACTACCCAAGAGCACCTGGTGTGCTCAGGCTAGGCTGGCTGGCTTGCAAGGCATTGGCAGGGGTGGCAGGGGCTGGGATTGCCACTTGGGGAATGCAGCCAGGCCTGAATCTCCGTGCACTCAGGCTTTTCCCCACTCCAGCCTCCCAACCATCTGCCTAAACCCATGGAGGTGAAAGAAGCAGAGAGGACTGGCTTTTCACGTAGGTTTATCTGGCTGTTGGGGGGGGGGAAAGATGGGGGTCTGAGGAGGATGTGCCTTGCCTGCCGCTGCTGCTGGCAGGTGGGGGCATCCATGGACCACAAGGCTGCACCACCCACATTGCCCCTCTGCCAGCTGATCCTCACACACCAGCTGGCTCACCTGCCAGCCTGTGCTCTTCGACTGAGCATAGCAAGCCCGGAGCAGGCCTCCGTCCCCCACTGTTGGCTTTACCTTCACGAGCAACCGCAGTGAGCAGAGCAGTGTGAGCCCCGCAGGCTGAAGGTGGCCAGGGACCAAAATGCTACTTTGTCACATCACCCGTCCACCAGCCAGCCCACCCCCACCCACCCGCCCCCTTTGACCAAATATGGTGGGCCTGGGGTGGATCTTCCTCCTCCACCATTGGCCTTACCTTCTCCAGACCCCCATCCATTTTCCCCCCAACAGCCAGACAAACCTAGGCTAAAAGCCATCCAGGCAAGGAGTGGCTGGGAGGAGAGGGGTAGGGGCAGGGGCAGCCAATGATAAGATCAGCTAGTTCACTGAACTGCAGAAGAAGTTAGCTACCGGTTCACGTGAACCACTGTGAACCCGCTGAATCCAACCACTGGGTATAATTATCTAAATCTGAGAGAACATTTGCTATCCTCAAGAGTAAATCCCAACAGTAAATCCCAGCACTATATGCAATAGAGATTATGGTGTAGTAGTTCAGTCATACAAAATGCATCAACTTATTATCTTCAATGTTTTTGAAAAAGCTGGCTCCTATTTATTTTGTGTTGTCCACATCAGCCTGTACCAGTGTAATACCTTCCAGATATATTGGAACTGTAACTCTGAATATTGGCCGTGATGGGTACATTCAAGAAGCTAGTCTACATCTCTGAATAACATGTGAATGTGGTTTGGGTTCAATGACTGTGCTTGTTTTTAGCTGGAAAGAGATCTTACCTCTGACTTTGACCAAAAATTTGCAAGTTTTCTTATTCCCAGCTCTGTCATACACAGTATATTGAATTTTGTGATCTCCTTCTGAAAAATATGAGCCTGGTGGAAGTCCTTTCAAAACAACACTAAAAATGAAATAAAGTAATGTTAACTTTTAAAAAGACAGCAATGTCTCATTCTTGCAGCATATATTTTAGAAAATATGGACTAAATTGTTAATATTATACTTATCTGGAACTTCTGAGAATCTGACTTTTTAAAACACCATCTACTGATATGCAACAACAATAATACTATAGCGTCACTGGTAGCCTCACACTGCAATGAACAAGGACACGTTCAATTTTGCAGCTACTAAGATTGTTGGACGAGCAGGCACAAAAACAGCCAGGGCAGTGAAACAGGCAACAGGAGCGATGATTTTCCACCAGCCTATCAAGTACTTAAAAAGGCGAGGGCTGGGCAGCACAAGCAAATAATAGCTGATGCCATAAAAGCCAACCCAACACACCCCAATCAACATCTAAAAAAGCCAGTTACAACAGGCACTATAAATACCACACACAGAACAGCACACACTCTGCAAGAGAGAAGTTTCCTGAAGATGGGCTCCAGCACGAATCTGAAAGCTCAGAAGATAAAACCTCTGGTCCTGGTGACTGACCTAGATTGGATCCTGCAACACTGTATATGGATATAAAATCTGCACTAGCTATATAAAAGTTGATCTTGTATCTTGTTACTTGTCAATTACTTCTATAAAATTATTTGGATTGCATGTTTGAAAGAAAGGACTAGGAACTAAAATGCTGTAAACTTCTCAATTCATACTAACTTGTAGAGCATTATGTATTAAATTAAAAGTATATAAACTTAAAAAGTGTTTTTCATCTGCAGCTTTTACATTTATAAACTGTCACTATTGTTCAATTTACTTTTTACATCTTTACCCACTCTGTCAAAATGCCATCAGCAGTATCCCGTCCCTCTGGAATATCCCAGAATACCCTAGATGTTAATTTATTGGGTTCTGCTATTTTCTCCTTTACACTTGGACACTGAATTCTTGGAGGTTCCATATCTGTAAATTAAAACACAGACAAACATAATGATTTGTTTTAAGCTCGTGTTACAACACAGAACATTTTTAAACAATAGTAATAACATTAACTCACAAACTGCTACCGGGACAGTTAAAATTAAACTGTTGAATATTAAAATGATACCAATAAAATATCTAAAATACTAGCGAACTATTTATAACACCATCTATGCAAAGAAATAAAATGTTTCACACAAAGTGATTTATTGCCTACTCTTAATTTTAGTTACCTGTGCTGTTCAAAATTTTTCTAATTTTGTAAAAATAAGTGCTTTTTCTATTCAAAGCACTGTTCTATTCAACAGTCTTCAGTTTTTTACTGCATTATAATTGACACCCCTACTTTTTTAAAATACTTTTTTTCATTTTTATCATTCATGATGTATTTCAATTAAACTTGATTTATTTGTAGACAATCATTACTAGCAGGCCAGTAAAAACCAAACTAAAAACTAAAAGTTTAGTAAAATTTGCACCAAATTTCAAAAATCTGGTATTAATTTTGAAGAAAGTGGAATTATTCAAATTAAAATAGATGGCAGAAGACTAGGAGACTAAAGCTTTAAAGTTCCATTTGCAGACTTTTAAATATTTTGCTTGCATTTGGATTGAAATGTATATTGAAACTATATGAAACTTTATACTGGGTATCCATTTTTGCTGAAAGGCTCTGTGTTCCCAGTAAAGTATATATAGCCTGAAGCTATATAGCCAGTGGTGGGATTCTACCGATTCAGACTGATTCAGGCGAACCAGATGTTAAATTTGCATCTGGTTTGCCAGCCAGTATTTGAACCAACCGGCTGGTCACACCCACCCCTCCCTTCCCCTCCTAGGAGTCTCCACGTGGCCCATTTTCGATGCACGTAAGTGCAGGGTCCATGCAGAGGCTCTGGGAGGGGGAAAAACACGCCTTCCGGAAGTCCAGAAATGGGCTTGTTTCCGGAGAGCCTCCAGAGCCCGTGGGAGGCCATTTTTACCCTCCCAGAGGCCCGAGGGAAGCCTCTGGACCCTTGGGAAGGCAAAAAACGGCCCTCCCAAAAGTTCTGGTAGGCCACACCCACCAATGACCATCCAGCAACTGGGCACCGAACCAGTTGCTGGGATATTTGAATCCCATGCCTGTATATAGCTTCATGTTCTTATTTGTACAAATCAAACTGGTTTATACATTACTTATGTCAAAAATGAATATATACATCTATTAGACTCAATGAATACTACTGTTCTTTTTTTAAAAAACTTTGCATTGTAACATTAGCTTCCTCCTTAAGGCAAATTAATTAATCATCAGTAAATTGAAGCTTGTGATTCTGCACATAACTACAAATATTCACACTGGTTAAGAACTTTTTTTGCTGATAAAAAATGGATAGGGCAACCTTTTATAATGTGCTGCCCAAAGAACGGGCAGTTACTGTAAATAAGGCAATGCCTAGTAAGAATAAAATTAATAAAAATGAAATATTCCAGTTTCTGGAATTTTCAGTGTTTCAGCTATATAATTCTAAGGATCCCCTCACTAAATAATAAAACATAGGACTTTATATTTTTTTATAAATTTCAGTTACATTAATATAACGATCCTGCGTTACTATAGGAATTATATCTCAAGGCTCTCCTAGATCTGTAAATTCTTCTTGCCTGACCAGAATGTTCTGTTCAGTTTAATTACATTGAAACAGTTACTAGATGAACACAACCCAAATTTGCAAAAGGCAGGAATGTATGGTTTATATGTAAATAAGCCACATGCAGCAATGTTAGGTTGCTAATAGCTTTCCAGATCCAATACCAAACCCATTGCAAAATTGTTGAAATCATGTATGCTTGATGTTAACAGGAGTCTCAGAAATAACATCTATACATGATGATTGCCTATCTGTTTTTTTTAATTCTGACCTTCCTTCTAAAGAACTTATTATGGCTTGTATGATTCTGTGCCATCCTCGATCAATTTTATCCTTATGCCAGCTGGGTTTAGAAATCAGGATTTGGCTGACTTCATTAAGTTTCAGGGCTGAACACTGATTTGAACATATATTAAGCAAGTTTCTGGAAGGGACAGAAAGAAAGAGAAAGAAAGGGAGGAAAAAGTCAATGAGTTATATGGATAGATTGATGGATAGATACATGGAGGGAGGGAGGAAGGGAGGGAGAGAAAAAAGAAAGGAGAGGAAGGAAGGTGTCAGATCTGTGTATCTGTCATTTCTTCAGTGGAAGAAGAAAGGGGGGGGGGAGGCTGATAAAGAAATCCTTTCTTGATGTAACCTGAATATATTTAATCTTACATCAAATTTGTATAACCCACACATGATATGATGGAGGGAGAAAAGCCAGATGGCCAGAACTATCACCTCTGAGAGGCACAACCAGGAGATGAGAAGGTCATAAAAATTCCACAGTGAGATTGTACTTTGGGAATCTCTTGAATAGTTCGTTCTAAAAAGGGGGTGGGGGGAAATTAGGGATGCCCTGGGAAACTGTGAAAAGATCGTTCCTTACAAGAGGGGTGGGGAGGAATTAACATCCTGGCTTTTGTTTCACCAAATACACATCGAGATAAGGGGAGGGGTTCTAAACTCCCTTATGTATCCCTGTATGCCTGAGAGACCTCAGACGCTGCTTTGAACTCCTATAGGAATTGTCTCATCTCAATAAAGAATTCCTTTGTGATACGTTTGGATACGTTTTCAGAAGTTCATTCTAGTTGAGTGAATGGGAAAAGTTCTGTAGCCTGACAGAAGGACACAAACCCTGGCTGCAGAAGACTCTTTGAAACAGCACAGCAATCTAGGGCTAAAAGGGATCTCGGAGGTAATCTTCTAGTCCAACCCCCTGCTCCAGCAGAAGATCCTTACAGAATCATAGAATAGCAGGGTTAGAAGGGAGTGTGTGTGTGTGTGTGCATGGCTGTCAAAACTCCAAAAACAGGTCAAGTAGCTCTGGGGAGGTCAGTATATCTCTTACTACTCTCCAAATGTATCATTATGATTTTCAACTTACCAACACAAGAAGCTGGTCTTCCGCTCCAAGCTTTACTATCCATACATTGTACTACTCTATCTCCTTTTAACTGATATCCCGGTGAGCAATAATACTCACACCTAGAATTAAAGTATGCACCATCAACACACTTGAATCCTCCATTAGGTGGCATAGAAAGTGTTGGGCAGCGTTTTTCTGTAAGAGAAAATCAACATTAATTACTGAAGACATGTTTGTTACTTCCTATCAGGCTCTACGTTATACTGCACTGTATTTTACAATATCATGAGAAAAAAAATCATTTTTGTATGAAAGCAGTACAGAGACATAGAAGTAGTCTGATTGGCTGGATGATGCAACAGAAAGGTTGTGATATACAGTTTTTGATGTAATAATTTCTATAGAGAATAAAACATGGGTAGCATTTTCTATCATGTCCAGTCCACAAAGGCAGGTGCATTTCTTATAAAGGAATCTGTATTATAGAATAATTGAGGTGAAGTAAATTTGTGGCCATAGATCCTTCCAGAATCTACTGTATTCCTCCAATTCTTACTGGAAAGTTGAAGGGCCTTATTCCTCATAGTGTGAGACAAAGTTTGATTGGTTGCTAAGCAAAGGATGAATTGGGTTGAATTTCATAATGGCACTGCATTAGAGAATAATCCTTTAAAATTCAATAGGAGAACAACTTTCAACTACAACTTATTCCCAATTCCTCAGGTGGAGAAAATTGCTAAACTTTCCAAACAATCACCTCTTTTCTCAGAGTGGATCTATTTACCTTAACTCATAGCATGGCACTCCTGAAGGTTGTTTATTTGTGCTTGACTATATCTAGAGCAAATCTGGATTAAATTGGAGCATGGGGGCAGATATATACTGAGAGTTCTGAAAGGCATCCTTTGTAATTCTCTGTGGAAATGAAATATTTCTATATTTGCAACATGTAGAAGCAAAACGTTGGTGATTTTGCATAAAGAAACTGAGCTCTGAACAGGAAATAATTTTACTGCTGCCTTGCTTTTACACAAGTACAGCATGGATGGTCAGAAACAAAAAGAAACAGGACCAAACACCAAATCTACAAAAGCACTGCAAGGGGAAAAAATGTCTTTTATTTTTCTTATTGAAGTCTGAAATATTTTCCTTTGTCTTTTTAGTACTGATGTTTATATTTATTGCTATGTATTTCTTGCAACTCCTTTCCCATGGAAAGCTTAAAAATGACAGTATAATTTTTTTATAAAAGTTACATTAATTACACTTAAAATAAATCCTTAAAGCTACATGTGCATATATTTAAAGCAGCCTATATAACCATATAGAGACATAAATGAAATTAATTACAACAAATATTGCCAATGCAATTTAAAACAAAACCCACATAATTTCTTCCCTTTGGAATATATAGGAAGACTAAAAAAAGTATTCTGTTGTATAAAACTTTCAGCTTTTTAACCAGCATAGAAAAACCTCCACTGCTAAAAGTTTCTTCTGTATGAGCAAAGAATTCCATAACTAATTTTTATTATGCTAAAACAGTAACTAGTAAAAGCCCCACTAAAATTCAATTATATATGGCCAAGAGCAACAGGATCAGAAGCAAAGAACTTCAAAACAAATCTTCAGGAAAAAATGAGCCACTTACGTTTGCAGAAAACTTTCCCAGACCAGCGTTTGTTTGACTGGCAAATAAGATGCTGAGGACCATGCAGTTCATAACCTTTCTGACAATGAATATCACATGTGGTGCCCAAGACATTTCTGTAATACCTTTCCTGAGGACTTCTGCAATTTGCATAACCATATTTTACCTTGATAGGAGAGCACCACGGTGTCTCTAGAAAGAGAAACCACAGGACAAAAACCAACAAAGGAAATAAGAACAGTAGAATTAAAACTAATTATGCAGCTCATGTGGGGGAAAAAACAAGACTATAAAGTTACACAGGAAAACAAACTATATAATCAAAAGACCTCACTCTCCAACATTACAGAATTGAAAATTGTGACTTTCTCTGTATGTTCCAGGAATTATTATATAAAAATTATACAAACACTGAACTATTAAAATCAGCAATTTGTACTGATGTAAGGACTGCCACCTTAATTTCCTGTTATAAGTCTGCCACCAACTGGCCAGTTACAACAAATATTTTTTTTCTCTTTCAAAAAGAATGTGGATTGAATTTGCACCAAAATGGATAAAATATTGTATATGTTTCTTGCTATCCTATACTTATTTACCTGAGAATATGATGTATGAAATAAACAGACAAGTATAACACGACCCCGTTTTATTTTACATAAAATATTTCCATCTCCCATGTGTGCCACTCAGTCCCACTCTGTTCTTCAAAAAGAAAAAAAAACTTTAATTTCTTTTAAACCAAATTAGAGTATTAATTTGTTTAACTGTGATACCAGTTGATTCCATTTCCCCTAATATTTAACCCATTCTCAAAAGCTTAGGAATTTGTTTAAGACAAGACTCATTTGATTAATGGCTGGCACACTTAATTTTTTTTTAACAAACTTTATTCAGTTTTTCACCTTAAAAACAAAAATCTCTTTTTAGTGGACAACATGTTTCCGGGTCAACACCTTTACCTATAAATATGACAGCAATTATACATTCATACATGCATACTTAGTTCTATTATTACCTTTTCCATTCCAAATTTTCAGTAAGGAGAGAAACAAACACATTAATTCGAGCCTCTTTCATTAATCTCAATCGAAACATCTTTTTGTTTCATTTCAATTATTTCAAATATAATCCTTTAATATTTATTTTAAAAATAAAGATAAACAATATGTGTTTGCCTAATAATAACAATAATTTAAAAAGTTACCAATGTCTCTCCTTGCTTTTAATAGTCTATACTTATTAATTTAGTTGGTTCTTTAGTCTGTCATATTCCCTTTCCATTACACATTCTTTTTATAAATTCTAGATTAATACAAATTTTAACACTAAAAAAAAAACAAGTATAGGTTTCCCCCCTTTTACTGTTTTGAGTGTGACACCTCAATGATTAAAATATACCTTTATTCCCTCATCTTAATTCCCAATAAACCATTATTTTTAAGAAGTTACAATAATAATCATTACATCTTTTCACTTGGATTCCACAGCATATTTTCCCCCATTGATTTTTAATAAGAGTTATCAGTATCTATATTACCCTCCCGTGTTTCTCACAAAATAAGGCTGGGCCTTATTTTTTTTGACCCCCGAAAAAACGTCTAGGCCGTCTTTTTGGGGGTGACTTAATTCCCCCCCCTTGCATCCTCGGGTGAGCGGTCGGCGACAGCTTGGATGTTCGGGAGACCTTCTACCACCGTTGCTTTCCCTTCTCCCTTGCTGCTGCGGCGTTTGGCGCAGCCACGTGCGGCCAGTCAGGGCTCCTCCCTGCAACCGGAGCCCTGAGGAGACACTTGGCTTCAGGCGCTCCTGTCGCCGCCTTCCCTTTGCCTTCGAAGGTAAAGTGAATTATTTTAAAAACGACACCCTACTACAACAAAGCCTCCCCTGCCCGAGAGGGCAGCCCAACCCCACGTGGGGAGGCGAATCTCCTGGGGCCGCAGCGCAGGATTGGCCCACCTCGGGAGAAGTGTCCAGCCGCCATCCCTGCCTGGCGCCGGGCAGAGCGCGAAGAGCTTCACCTGGTGTGTCCAGCGCAGCTGACAGGCGGGTCCTCCTTCCCGGCAGCAGAGCTCTCACCAAGGCAGTGAGCGCCTCCCTGCTGGACCCTCCGCTCATCCCGCCAGGACCGCGCCAGAGCCGTGTGGGCTGGGCAGAGCCAGGAAAGCGAGCCGCGGGTGCGTGTCTTCGAGGCAATCTAGTTTAAACAATACTTCAGGAAAAAGAATGAAAAAAAGGTTCACATGGCCAAACCTTCTATGAATACATCCACAGCAAAGACGGGAAAGGAGACAGAGGTTACATCAAGATTATTGATGTGATCAAGGTATCTCCCCTGCCTGTGATCCTCCAGTTTGTCAGGCTTCGGAGGTGGCAGGAATTCACGTTTGTGCACGATTCCTGCTGCGCTCGCTGCCGGAGTGCCTTCGATCCAATTGGATTGGGAGGCTATAGTTATCCTGTAGGGATAACTGAAGAGAGGGGAGATCCGGGCAGGGGTCTGGGGATATCGTAACCCCTTTCCCCAGCTGGCTTAACTCCCTTTTCCAAAGGTGGTGGAGCGGCGGTCAGCAATGGCCACCACAAAGAACCTCTCAGCCGGACAAGTTTTGTGCAGGAGGAAGTGAAGAAAGTGAAAGCTTTTGGCTGAACCGGGATGACAATCAACATCTGAATACTGGCTCTTTAGATGATACATTGCTTCCCAGAAGTTTGTAAAGCTGCGGTTGAAAGTGAAAGCTTTTTTTCTCTCCTCACTTTCCTTCCCTACGGAGACAGCAGATGGAAATCGGAAATACCCGCTTTGGCAGCAGAAGGTACTAACTTTGAAAATTAAAGCCAAGGGGACATTAGATTTCTAAACACTGACATTTAAAAATTTAAATCTTTTTGCTTTAAGTGGGAAGGAAGAGAGGTAAATGATTTATACCAAGATTTGTTGAAGGAGATTGCTTGGAGTTTTATAAAATCAGAGATTAAATTGCAATAAAACTTCCAAAAAATACCTTGGAATTGTGTAATTGAATTCTACCCCAGGAAGAGAAAGTAGAAGAAAGTGCTAAATGAAACAGACTGTGCCGATTGTGCTGACTTTGATTGCTTGATGACTTTGGGGCTTTTGTGAACTATCTTTTGAAAGACTAAGAAAACATTTGGATTGTTTAAAAAATTTTCCACAATCGTATCTGTTGAAGAACTGAAAATGCAATTTGAAAAGTTAAAAGAAGAGGAAGAAGAAGGCAAGGGCTCCTTTGGATCTATTTTTTGCTTCTTAGAAATGGCGATTTCTACTTATCAGGAAATGCAACAACAAGAAGGCTGGGATGATGAAGAAGAAGCCATTTTTAATGGATATATGATTTTAAATGAGAAAGAAAAGGGTAAAAAGGAAAAGAAAATGGAGAATTTAAGTTCCAAAAAAAAACACAAATAAATAAAGGAAATAAAGGAATGAACTTTGAGGGAAACTTTCCAGCCAAACTATTTACACTTTCAGAAGATAGAGAGCTGAGCACTGAAGAAATGTTTCTGCAGGTTTATGCAAAACAATCTCAACAGCTGGAGACTGGATTTGAAAGGAAAGAGCTTAGGGTGACCTTGAATTTTGCCTTGCTGAAACCTATCTAAAATTTTATAGTGAGCCTTGGACATTATATGGTGGCAGTGGTTTACTCTGTGAAAGAACTTTCAAACTGCAAAATTTTATTTTTTTCTTTTTCTGCTGATAGCTGCGACTAGCCTGATCCTTCTGGGTTTTTTTGTTGTTGTTGTTTTAATTAGGCCTCGATTTCATTGCTGGAATACAATATTTTTTCTTCTTTCTACTTTACCTTGGTTTATTTTTTAATTCCCTTTTTAATATCACTGCTGGATTACTTTTGTATTCTTTTTCTTGTTTTTTTGGGTTCCTCTACGGACTTGATCTTTTTCTCTTAGATAATTTTTATTTTTAATTTTTATTTTTATATATTTCTCTCTTTTTAACTGGATTAAGGTAAAGAAGAACCTGAAGATTGCATATTTTTGCAAGCTGTTTTTCTTTTTCTTTTTTTTCTGCTGACTAGACTTGTACTTAACCTAAAATGAGGAAGGCAACTGCCACAAGCTCATCAATACTCTCCTCCTCCACCCCACTTGGTGGCCAGCAATCAATATACACGATGTTGCAACAGGAGAAAGAGAGAGAGAAGGAAAAAGAGAAGGTCACACTACAAATGATAATGCAAGCAATAGAAGAATAGAAGACAGAACAGAGAAAACAGATGAGAAAATACAGAATATACAATAAACAATGATGAAGAATGAGGAAAGATTTCAAAAAATAGAAGAAAAAGGTGACCGAGAGACATGAAAATTGGCAAAATTGACAGCAGATTGACAGTTGTGAACGTGATTGGGCTGGGAGATGGATAGGGCAGATTTTTATCTCAGATTTCAAAACATAGAAGAGAAGAGAGAAAACCTTGCTGAAATAATGATAGAAATACTGGCAGATGCTTTGAAGATATCCAAAGAGAAAATGATGGATGGAATAGTCTTTACAAGATATGCAATGAGAAATAAACTACCTAGAGAAGCCCATGTAAGATTTACTAAGAAAGCAATCAAAACACAAATATTACAAAGTGCAAGAGATGAACCATTGAAATATAAAGGCAAGGATGTTACAGTCCTAAAACAAGTACCAAGAAAAGTGAGAGAAATGAGAAGAGAGTATCAATTCCTGACAAAAATTCTAATTAAGAAGGGAATGAACTATAGATGGCTGTTTCCCGAAGGCCTCATATTCACTTGGCAAGAGCAAAGATTAGACTCAATATAGAAAGCAGAATTATTTTATGGAGAATATTTCAGAGGAAAAGAAGATGAGAAACTACGAGAGGAGGAAACAGTCAAAATTCAAAAGGAGATGGCCGAAGCAAGATATAAAGCAATACAAGAAGAAACAATATGTGAAGAAGGAGATGTAGGTGGAAGGGTGGAGCTCAAAGAAGCAAGGGAGCAAAGATCTACAAGAGCTATAAACCCTACATATAACATATAAATAATGGAAGAAAAGAAATTGATTACAATAAATGGATTGAATTCGGCCACCAAAAGGAGGAAAATATTTCATAAATTAGAAAAATTAAAATTAGACATAATCTTCTTCCAAGAAGTTCACATAAAAAACAACATGCCCAGGTATTGAA